GCGGCATGGCGGACCCGCGGCGACCGGCGCGGGTGGCCAGGTGGGACCGGGGCACGGGGGGAGGACACCGGGGGGGGACAGGGGCCCTGGCCCGTCTGACGGTGCCGCCCCCAGGTACAAGCCGCCGGCCACCGAGACCAACCCGGCGCTGGAGGACCCGACGCCCGACTACATGAACCTGCTGGGGATGGTCTTCAGCATGTGCGGGCTCATGCTTAAGGTGGGGGCACCGGTAGTGGTCCCGGGGGGCACCGGCACCGGGCGGGGTGGGGGGACACCTGCCCAGGGTGGGCACTAGCCCCGGGAGGCACCGGACCGGCCCGGGGTGGGCGGTGGGATGATATTTTGGGGGCTGAGGACTGTCCCTGGGGGGGTTCTGGGGTGGCTGAGGGCCGTGGGGGCACAAGGACCATCCCCGGGGGGGTTCAGGGGCACAGGGACCATCCCCGGGGGTGTTTGGGTGGTCGACGGTCAATGGGGGAGAGGGGCTGTCCCCAGGGGGGTCCAAGGGGACAGGGGCCATCCCCAGCGGGTTTTGAGGTGGCCAAGGAACAAGGAGGGGACAGGGGCCATCTCCAGGGTGTCCCCATGCCGTACCCAAGGGGTCCCCACGCTGTACCCCTCTGCCTGCAGCTGAAGTGGTGTGCCTGGATCGCCGTCTACTGCTCCTTCATCAGCTTTGCCAACTCCCGCAGCTCTGAGGACACCAAGCAGATGATGAGCAGTTTCATGTGAGTGCCAGCAGCTCTGGATCCGGCCCTGGGGCGCCGCATCCCCTGCGGAGGGGACAGCGGGGAGACCATCCTGGTTTTGCGGGGGTCTCTGAAGCCCGGGCTGGTGTTTCTCCCCTCTCCAGGCTCTCCATCTCAGCCGTGGTGATGTCCTACCTGCAGAACCCCCAGCCCATGTCCCCTCCCTGGTGACGGCCGGTGTCGTTCCCTGGGGAGGGCGCTCACCGTGGGGGAGGCAACAGGTTGAGTCAGGGCCGGGACGATAAAGGGGGTGCTGGGGCAGAGCTCGTGGTCATTGTGGTTTGTACGTACCTGCGTGGGCTGGACCCTGCTCAGAGCCGCAGCCTCAGCAGGCAGATGGGGTGGATGGACCCCCCCCCCCCGGGGTTGGGAGAGCCCCAGGGGTGTGGGACCCTGCTTGGGGGATCTGGGGGGCCTGCTTGGGGGAACGGTGGGTGAAGATGGTAGGAGTTGGAGGGAGCGATGGGATGTGAGGGCTGGGGGAGCCCCAGGGGGCTGAGGGGAGCCTGGGGGGGGATCCAAGGGGAGCCCCGGGTGGGGCTGAGGGGAGCCATGGAGGTGGCAGAGCCCCGGGTGGGGCTGAGGGGAGCCCTCAGCTCCGGCTGCCCCCGGGGCTCCCCTCAGCACCCCGGCGCCATCGCCTCTGTGAGGGACCCGGCTCCTCGACGCGCCATTGGAAGAACGAGCTGCCCCTCTCTCGCTCTGCGCAGACTACGCCTCGGTGGGGGCGGGGTTTCGGGAGCTGCCACACGTCATTGGCTACTGACCGTTCTCCCGCCCCCGGAGGGGCCGTTGCCGACGCCCGCCCCGGGAGGAGCGGCTCGCGGTGTCAATCATGGGTGCTCCTCCTCCTCATTGGCGCCAGTCCGTTATGTCAGCGCCCCGCCTGTGTGTGTGGGGGGGCGGGTCTTCGTGGTGTTCCGTTACGACCGGCCTCCGCGCGCAGCGGCTAATCAGAGCGCGGGGTGTGGCCTGAGCGGCTTTCCTCGCCGTCCATTGGCTCTCGCTTGCCCAGAGGGGGTGGAGTGGGCACCCCCCAGGTCATGTGGACGGGCGGTCACATGACCGTGCCCGCGAGCGACATGGCAGTGCCCGGGGCGGTGGCGCTGCTGCTGCTGCTCCTCGGGGCGGCCGTCGCGGGCTGCGGGTACCAGGTGGGACCGGGGGGATTGGGCCGGGGAGCCACTGGAGAGGGACTGGGCGAGACTGGAGGGGCTCCGGGAGAGGGTCCGGGAGAGGCTGGGGGGGCACCGGAGCGTCCTGGGGAAACAGGAACTGGGAGGGACTAGGGGAGCTGGGAGGCACTGGGGATACTGGGATGGCCTGGGGGAGCCGGGAGAGACTGGGAGCACTGAGGAAACGGGGACTGGGAGAGAGTGGGGGGAACTGGGCAGCTGGGAGAGATCGTGGTGGGGAAGCTGGGAACCCAGGAGGGACTGGGGGGCAATTGGGAGGAACTGGGGCAGGGAGAAACTGGGCTGAGGGAGCTGGGATACTGGGAGAGACTGAAGGGAAGGTGGGGAAACGTGGATGGGGCAGCTGGGCTGGGACTGGGCGAACTGGGAGAGGTCAGATGGAGGGAGCAGTGGGGGACTGGGAGAGGGAAACTGGGACAATCTGGGCCTGAGGAATGGGAAGGGATTGGGGTCTGTCATGATCTGGGACTGGGAACATTGCGGAGAGGCTGGGATGGGGGTGCTAGGGGAGGAAGAGGAGGGTTTAGGGTACTGGGTTGCCTGGAGGGGGCTGGGGCACAGCTGGACAGTGACAGTCACGTGCCCCAGCAGGGCTGTCACTGGGGGGAACAACGACACGTAGGCATCCTGGCCTGCCCTTCCCTCCCAGGCGGGGGACCCAGGTGTCCTGGCCACTGGTTTTTAATGGCCATTTGCATCCTCCCCTGCAACCCAGGGGCTTCCTCTGGAAACGGCTGGTGGGGGGGCAAGGGGGGGACGTGGGGTGTGGGCACAGCCCCGTACGAGCCCTCAGAGACTCTGCTTGCACCTGCAGTCGTGTCCGCCCACGCGCCCTGACCTCCTCAATGTGCACCTGGTGCCCCACACGCATGATGACGTGGGCTGGCTCAAGACAGTGGAGCAGTACTTCTATGGAGGTGGGTGTCCCTGCCACTGTCAGGTGGGGGGGAGGATGGTTCCCGGGGAGGGGCAGTGACGTCCCCAAGGCCACTGCAGCACCTGCGGGGACAGAGGTGACAGCTTCAAGGCCACCGTGGGGGTGGAGGTGACGCTCGGCAAGGCCAGTGTGGGGTCGAAGGGACAATGGGTGCCAGAGATGGAGCCTGCAGCCTCACAGCGGGGCAGGGGTTGGGGGCAGAGAGACAAATCCTGCCTTTGGGACGGGGACGGGACCGTGCTTTCTGCCCATTGTCCCCAGCGTGGTGTTGTGACCCCGGTTTGCCTCTTGTTTTTGCCTGTTGGAACAGTGCTGGGATCCCTGGGCCTTTCTGTGTTCCACCCTTTATGTCCCTTGGATGTTTCTGTGCCCCCCCACGACCCCCTGTTCTCCTCCCACATCCTCTGGAGGCTGCTGTGACCCTATCGCCCCTATTCCATGACCCCCATATGCCACCTGTGTCCCCACGGATGTTGCCGTGACCCTGTATACTGTATCATGCCGTGACCCTGTGCCCCCTCCCTGCCTGTCACGGTTGACCCCATCAGTGCATAATGAGGTGCAGCATGCGGGGGTGCAATACATCCTGGACTCGGTGGTGGCCCAGCTGGCAGCCGACCCCTCCCGCCGCTTCATCTACGCTGAGGTGGCCTTCCTGGCCCGCTGGTGGCGGCAACAGGACGAGGCCACACGTCGCACCGTCCGCCAGCTCGTCGAGCAGGGTGCGGGGGGCATGGCAGGGATGTCCCCTGGGGGGGACTCTGTCACTGAGAGGGATGTGGGGGGTGTCTCTGGAGAGGGACGTTGGCATGGGGACACACAGGGATGGGGGGGGGGGGGCGGGGGGGGCCGCGGGGG